CAGCGAGCTTGCCACCTCCTGAATGGGTTTAAATTTATTTCTAGAGAGACACAGGGCTGACTCTTGGACCCCTTTCTATCTATATCCTGTCTAGATTATCTCGTTCAGTCTCTTGCCTTTAAATACTATCCAGACGCTGATGGGTTCCAAATGTATGTCCCCTGCCCAGATGTCTCTTCTGGACTCCAGACTCACCTAGCCAACCGTCTAACCTGATTTCTCCATTCGGAATCCTAAGGGGCATCTCAGACCCAACGGGGGACACTGAGATGGCGCACTCGCGTTTTCTCCCCCACGTCTTCCTCCCTCTCCCAGTCTCTTCAGCTCAGGAAACAGTTGGATCATTTGAGCAGTGGCTCAAACCCAGAAAACTCAACAGTCAGCTTCAATTCCTCCCTTATCCGCAGGCCCACCAGGTGGTCCATCACCATGTCCCTTATCTCCAGAAAGCTCTCAAATCAGTCACCTTCTCCCCATCTCTGCTATCCCGTCCTGGCGTGAGCCAGCTCCTCTCTTACCTGGCTTACCACAGGCCCTTGACTGTGCTTCTGCCCTTTCCTCCCCAGCCCACCCTTATTCCCACCGCCAGCATGAGCCTCTGCCCACCTCTGCTCAGACCCTTGCTCTTAGAGCCAAGATCCACTGCTCTTAGAACAAAACACATACTCTTGACCATGACCTGGAGCGATCTTAGCATTGCCTGCTTTCCCAAACTCACTTTATGCGCTGCCCCCCCCCCCCCACACACACACACTCCTGCTGGCTTCTACTTGGCCTTAGCAAGCCTTCCCGTAGCCCTCGGCCTTTTGACAGCTCTTCATCCAACCGGTTCATTCTTGTTCTTGGGGCCTCGGCTCCACTGTTAGCTCAACTGTCCCATCCTTGGAGGGCTTTCCTCGTCTAGTCCATCGGAACGAGCTTCTCCAAGGAGTCCCGGTTCATGAGCGTATTCCGTTTCTTTGATACTTGTCACTGTGAGTGTTTATACTGCTTGTGGATGTGGTATTTCCTTCTTTCACACACTTACCAGTGTGGGATCCCCTCACGTTGCACGTCTGGGGACATATGGTGAACCAAAATTCTGTGTGCCCTGGAGCTTACGTTCAAATGGAGAAGAGAGACAGTAAGACAAAAAGTGAAGAGTCAATTTAATGTCAGGTAATGAGCATGCTGTGACAAGGAACAGGGAAGCAAGTTGAGACAGATGAAACAAACAGTGGGCAACGGAAGGTTCTGGAAGGATGAATTACTGGAAAGAAAGCATCCCAAATAATGGGCAATCGGTGTTTCATGCAGATCAGTTTTGAAGAAATAAGCTATTTCTTTAGAAAATGAGTTTTGAGCCCTATCTCATGGCATAAATTCCAAGAGAATTAAAAGTTAAGTGTGCAAATGAAACCATTAACTACATTGATGGTTTACTTGTGGATGGGGGAAGAACAGCCAAGTCCAAAAGTGTGGAAAGAAATGAGATGATTGACGGGCTACATGTAACTTATTATTGGGGGACCAAATTATTATTCGGGGACCAAATCTATTGGGGGACCAAAAGAAAATCAGGAAATAAAGAAGTGGACAAATTGAGGGAAATACTTACTGTAAATGAGAATAATAAAAAGGCTAATAATATTAATATATAGCACATGCCCTCAATTGTAAAGTTCTTCTTTCCTTGCCTTTTAATATTACTTGAAATTAGAATGTTTTTCATCCACTGTATATATTTAATGTGGCCATTAAAACATTAAATCAGCAGTATATCTGACAAGTAATAACATCTTAGAATGCAACTTTTTAGCATTCATAAAAATTAATATGGACATGAAAGTTCCTAGTAGAAAATACTTCATTCCTTCAACAAATATTTGAGTGTTTCTGAGGGGTGAGGTGGCCGGTATAGAGTGGTAAACAAAACAGACACAAATCCTTTCTTTGAAGTGCCTCCTCCAGGCGGGTCACTGGTTCCCTGTACACTACATCCATCTGAGATCAGCCGGGTTATTTCAGTGAGAATGAGCACCTGGGCCGACACCACTCAGTAGTTAAGTGATGGGAGCACGTCCCCTCAAGTCTGTGAGCGTTTAAACCCTGTGCACTTTCTTCAGATTACCATAATTGTTGAGCTAAATGGAGTGTTCACACTCAGTCTTGCTGACAGAGCCGTCATTCCCCGCAACCCCCCACCCCCTCCCCCGCCTCTCACCTGCTTCAGCCCTGTCTTTAGGACTCCGTCAGGGACCTGTTGGTGGAACAAGAAAGCATTGCAGTGGTGTCCCAGGCAGGGCAGACGTCTTTTTAGCCAAGAGTAATATTTTGCCAACAAGACACACAAAGAGTATAATCCTACGTTATTTAGGTGCCCTCCTGTATGCCTTTTCACCCTATGCTAAATAATGGCTATCACTTAAGTGTCAACAAATGTTTTGGTGATAAAAATCTAAACCATTTGCGGTCATAGATGTTGGGAAGGACAGGGAGGAAAAAGACCAAACCATACGCTGATCTCAGTGTCTGCGAGAAACGTACTTAGACATTGTCCTAAGCTGGGGTCTCTGGGAGCGGAACCGGTGTTGGGGAATTCTCGGGCAAGTGAAGTGTTGCAGGGAGAGGGGAGAGTTGGATGGTGGGGAGAAGTTAAGTGAGGATCTGGTCTCCCCTGGAAACTTGCTTCCTCCTGGTCCCCCAGGGAGCTCTGGAGTGTGGATTGTACCAGAGCAGCCTGACCCTGAGGCAGGGAGCTGATCTTCTATACCCCTGTGTCAGCCAGCCCCTGGCTGTGTGCGTCCTGGGGCTCCGGTGTGGCTTAACCAACCCAAAGTGGCTGGAGACAAATTTCCCTGAGGAGGAGGCAGCTGTGAGCCCTTAGTGGCCAACTCCCGCCTGGCACCTGGGGAATGGTGCCCAGTAGAGGGTCTGTGTGGGACACCAACAGCATCCACTGCGTAAGGTCCAAAAAAATTAGTTTGGAAGATTATCCAGTGATGGGTTTTGACACATGACAGGACCCTCTGACTAGAGGTGCCTGTTGAACACAGGATTTATTATCAAGGAGCTTCTTGGTTTTTATTTTACTTTAGGGGATTCAACTATTAGATCAGCTTTGCTAGAAGGAAAATTTTTTCTAAGGAAGGGACCGTGGCAGGCATGCACCACAAAGGCTAAGAAGGTTCTTTGAGGAATTTTTAAGGTATTATTGGGGAAAAAGGGAGGAGAGGACTAGACATACAACTGGAAACAACTATCAAAAACTAGCTTATAATATACTAACTTTGTCAGAATAATGATCTAAATTCCTACAGCTATTAGATATTTTTCTTCTAGATTTTTCTAAAACCATTTTACACATTGGTATTTTGCTATTCATCTTTTTTTTTTTTTTTTTTGGCTAGCAGTGATTTGCATGGAATGTTCAACTATATAATGATGGATACATTGTCAAATATGTTTGTCAAAATATATTTGTCAAAACCTCTAGAATGTACAACCCAAGAGTGAATGCAGACTATGGGCTTTGAGTGATAAAGATGCGTGCTTGTCAGCTCATTGACTGTAGAAATGTACCACTCTGGCATGGGATATTAATAGTGGAGAAAGTTGTATGTGTTGGGGCAGAGGGAGTATAGCAACTTTGCACATTCTGCTCCATTTTGCAGCTCTAAAAAATAAAGTCTATTGTTTTGTTCTGATCTCAGCCTATCAATAATAATACCATGGCTCCTAATGCCGTAAGGCCCTCACATGGGCTCCGGTGAGCCTCCCTCAGACATGTGCCCCTTTCAAAATCAGTGTTACTACTGGGATGACCCTTGTGGATCTTACTGTGATTGCAGGACACCCTTCAACAGCAGCCATCAGGAAACTTTGGAAAAAGAAAGGTTTATGACTTACAAGGCCCAGAAGCTGCACAGGACACCTGGGTTACATCAGTGACGTGGGGCAGCGGGGGAGAGCATGTACACACCTGCACAGGCCTGGGATCCTGCTTTTATTAGAGTCAAGGGTGCGGACCCAGAGTTTCACAGGCTTACTCTTTATTGCTGAATTTAAGACATAAGAGCAAGAATTTAAAGCTCTTGGGAAAGAGACAAGTGGCGCAAATGGCCAATTATGAAATCAACCAAGATCTCGAAAACAAAGGAGCCTTAGTGGTGCGGCAGGTAGCCTGGCTCTTTATCACGTCACGTGGCTGGCCATGGGTTTATTCAGGATAGTTTCCTTGGAAGTGGGTACCTCTTTGAAATAGTTGTCTGGGCAATCCAAGCTTACTGTCCGTGCTTACATTACATCCTGTTTCTACAAGTCTATGACTACACAGAAAGCCGGCTCTCCTCCTTGATCAGTTTCCTGTTCCTAAAGAACAGGTGATGTCCTAACATTGAAAGTTAAAATACAGTAAGAATTGGGCAAATAGCATCCTTCAATTATACAATATATTCCTTCATTGCATTTTTCATAGCTTTCGCTCTGTGCTGGGAAGGGTACCGACATAGCACATACGTGGTATTTCAGGTTAGGGGTGCATGCTCCCATGTACTTGCACACGCACACATGCACACACACATGTGCACACACGCCCCTTCCTTAAAGAAAAAAAAAAAAACCATCACCCACTCCACACGAAGCATCTGACTCATTTCTAGAATGCCTGTTGCTGTTATAGAAATTCAGCCCACAAATAAAATTTAACATGCTAAGCTTTTAACCACAACTGCCTAGAATTATTTTCTGGTATTAACATAAAATACTTGCTGGGTTTTTCCTCTAATACTTTCACCCCAACGGGCAGGTGTCTCCCCTTCAAGAAGCTACTTTGAACCAAAGCTAATATGGATGAAAATGAAAACTAATAACTTTTATCAAATTATAGTGAGCTTTACCCTATAAGCTGCTTAGTGTTTCTATAGAAACCTGTCTGCTGAGCTTTTATCTTGGAGGCGTGAGTCCCTGGAGATGGACGACATTTCTAATGCTGTTTGTGGCCTGTCTTTCCCCCTCCACAGGCCTTGAACCGAGGCATCGCTGCTGTCAAGGAGGACGCAGTGGAAATGCTGGCCAGCTACGGGCTGGCGTACTCCCTCATGAAGTTCTTCACGGGTCCCATGAGTGACTTCAAAAATGTGGGGCTGGTGTTTGTGAACAGCAAGCGAGACAGGACCAAAGCCGTCCTGTGCATGGTGGTGGCCGGCGCCATTGCTGCCATCTTTCACACCCTGATAGGTAAGGCTGCTGCCACCCCGCGAGGTGCTAGCTCTCTCATTTCCTGTGCCTTTCTGTCCATTTGAATGCATTTATTGTGATAAGTGATTTCCTTGGTAATTATTAAAACATTTGACATGAAAATTTCAAGGGATGAAAGGAATGGGGTTTGTGCTCCTAGCGCAGGAAAAGAAAATGTGTTTTCTCTGGGAAGCTCTACTCTTGACTCCTAAGCCCTGTGTTGGAGAAGAAGTGACTTCAATAAGGTCAACAAAATGGCCCAGGCTTCCTAGAGACACGCATTATGACACAGACTCAAAAATAAAAACAGAATGGTTTTTATTAAGATTGATGCTTATCAGCAGTGAGAACAAATGATCATTTTATGTAGTAAATAAATAAAACAGATTGTTGTATGTATTCAAGTTAACTTATTTTAGGGACTCACTAGTCTGTTTTATCCAAAGATGAGACTAAATACTATGGCATAACATTCTTTCCATGAAAAAATAAGAAAGCTATATCATACGTACAGTGACCCGCAGAGAGATGGACCAAGACCTTGGAAAAGGACTTCCTCTGGAGCCTCAGTCCTGCTTCTGCTACCTCCTGGGGTGGGGGGGGTGCAATAAAACTCTAAGAGCCTGACTTCAGAGCTCCTTGGCTTTAAAACAGCTCAGCTTACCGGGCATGAAAATTGAGTGTCACATCTATTGGGCCCAGTTGCATAAAACCCGTGAAATAACACCTCATAAATCCATTGTGTACCTTCCAAATGGCACCAGCTGTATGAGCTCCGTGAATGTCAGTGCTGAATAAAGGAGCCGGGAAATGAACCCAGAACGTTAACGGTGTATTCAGATGGCAGCTAATGGTTGCTCACACAATCTTGAATCTGAAGGTAAATGCTGTGAGACCCTTTTGGTTTTCCTCTCAAATGTAACACAAGCTTTTGTGCTGAGAACAGTGTGAAAACTTGAGAGGATGCTACTCATGGGCCAGATTTTCAGCCAAAGTCTTGATATTGATCATTTAATTTGGGCTCAAAGCTTCAGGGCCTGGGGTTGAGAGGAGACGCTCTTCTTCCTTCAGCTCACGCCCTGAATACTAACTTGTGGATGTGCTTTGAAGAAACGTCCTGCAGCTAGATTGAATCTGAGCCACTTTCAAAGATGGTACATACCTTGGAGAAAATTCCAGACGTGGAATGAGTAGGTCTAGATAAATTTGTGTCGAAATGAGTAAATTAGTTCCCTTTTGCTATCACTCTTTATTTGGATTTCTTAAATAAGCCTTACATTCCCTGTTTTAGTCATAGTTGAATAAGGCTTTGGGACTAATAGCTGGTTACAGGGCGCCAGATGTCACAGAAGGACAAAGCTGAGCGTCCTGTGTCATTGAAACTGGAGTGAGGAACATGTGGTCATCGAGATGAAAACCAGCATCATTTTTCAAGTTCAGTCTAAAATTTTCCATTTTAAAACAATTATAAAATCTTATGTGTGAATCAAAACGGTTCTACATCCCGGATGGATTTAGCTATCATTCTAAGCAGACTCTTGGAATTCTAGAAGATCTACCGACCCAAAAGTTTGTGTCTGTTCTCTGTGCACCAGAGCCTGGCTCTCAGTATCCAAACTGCAGGAGCCTTGGGAGTAATTCTGGCTTTTGGTTCTTGGTCTTTGTTGGGGAGCTGCCAATAGTGTCTCATTTTAGCTAAATTGTGGCCACTACTGTTGTTATGGGCTCATCTGTGAGACACCACTTTTAAATTGCAGGGCATGGGGTTTGCCAAGACCAAACCTTAATTTAGGCCAGTGGTCAGGATATAGGTGTGCTCCCACATCCCCCTCTTAATTAATCTGTAAAAGAGGAAACCTTGCTGACCGTGTACTTGATTAATTTGGGTCCAGGTAAATTTCACCTGCGTGAAGTTAGTATTACCTGTGCACCTAATTCACACAGATGGAGAAACCATGGCTGTGGCTGTTTTCTTGGTCTACACAGTTGATTCTCAAGTGACCTGTAAGGCCTCTTCCATGTTCCAGAGCAGCCTGGGCAGTCAGCATGGCTTAGGGGAGCAAGTTCCGAGGTTCTTCCAGTAACTTCTAGAGTGGGTCCATTTGTCAGTCTTTCCCATCTCCAACAACTTTTTCCATTATTCACAGGTTATAGACCCATCCTGGAAAGGGTACAAGTTGGTATCACTGAAACTAACAAGGGTGCTAGACAAGGACAGTTTTAGCGTGGTCTCAAAATGTATCGCTCTGTAACAAACCCCCCAACACTCAATGACTCAAAACACAGCATTTATTCTTGCTCACCAGACTGGGGGCTGGCTAGCTGGTTCATTTGGACTCACTATGCTCATGCCTCTGTGCTTTGCTGAGAGTCAGGAGGCGGGGCTCCCTGGGGGGCCGTCAGCCAGCAGGGGCTGGGCCAGATAGCCTCTGCTGGGACAGCTGGGCTCTATTCCACCAGCCTGAGCTTGTGTGGACAGCTATGGCAATACCCCAAGTGAGAAGATAGAGGCCCACAAGGCCTTATGAGGCCAAGAACTGGAAGTGGCCGCCATCACTGCTACCGTGCGTGACCGACCAAGACAAATCCCAGGCCAGCCCAGGTTCAAGGCGGTAGGGAAACCCACTCCAGCTTTGCACCAGAGGTACTATGAAATATTGCAGAGAAGGGATATAAGGAGGAGAGAAGAATCGGGGATATTTTGCAATCGGTCTACCCCAATCACTTCTTTGGGGATGATGGATTCATGCATTTGTTTAATCAGTATATATTGAACACCGACTATGTGGCAAACAGTGGGCAGATCCCGGGAATTCGGATACAAATAAGGCACATTCTCTAGAGAGAAGCAAGATATCATGCAGCAAATTATTACAAAATACCCACTCCACAGAGACTCGACACCAGTGAGATCACATTTATGTTCTTGTGTTAAAATCTCACATACACTGTGCTTACTTTATGCATGGATTTACGATATATTTCCAAGGCCTGGGTGGCGCTTGTTCTTCCCACACCTATATGTTCCAGATAACAGTTGCACAATGGGGACTCTAGAGGGGTGTCCTATGTCTGTATCCCAGCCCCCATGCCAGTGCCCAGCCTCTTCACAGCCGGGTTCACTGGCGCAGTGCCTTATGCATTAAAGTTGTTCGACCCTATGTGTGGAAATGATTTAAATATCAGCCATACAGGCACACATACTTTTGAAATGATTCATTAGAAACACGGGGGTCAGGTTACCTGCCTCTGTGAAAAGCCTAGTAGTAAACAGAGAAGTCCATGGCATAATCAGTAGTACTTTTTTTTTTCTTATTGTTTTTTTTAAAGATTTTATTTATTTATTTGACAGACAGAGATCACAAGTAGGCAGAGAGGCAGGCAGAGAGAGGGTGAAACAGGCTCCCTGCTGAGCAGAGCACCCGATGTGGGGGCTCGATCCCAGCACCCTGAGATCATGACCTGAGCGGAAGGCAGAGGGTTAACCCACTGAGCCACCCAGGTGCCCCTCCTTATTTTTTTTAATTTAATTTTTATTTTCAGTGTTCCAAGATTCATTGTTTAGGCACCACACCCAGTGCTCCATGCAATATGTGCCCTCCATAATGCCCACCACCAGGGTCACAGGAGTACTTTTAAGACTTTTAAGCATGGGAACTTGCGAATTTAAATGAGAATAAAGGTTCTCAAATCACCTCTTGGAAATGCACATATTATTCTCTTACTAGAATCAGAAGAAGGCTTTCCCCTCAATTCCCAGAGGAAAAGAGGTGTATAGACTTGCCTTGATTAATATTAATATTTCGAGGCATTTTGCAACAGGCGCGGGTAACTACTAGGTGAGCAAGCCTGAGAACCACTCATTCTGGAAAGAGTCGGTCACCCTGATGGGCCCAGGGCAGAAGAGCTGGGGATTTGAATGGCCCTTCTGGTTTCTTCTCGTTTGGGTGGGGTCAAAAGCTGTCAACCTATAAAAAGGTCAGGCCTGTGTCCTCCCTGCTGCGGCCACGTCATGAAATCTGTTTACGTCTTATTCAGAAGCCTTGTTTAATTTTTCTATTGAGTGTTCTGCCCTTCAGAAGGAATAGAAGCTGTCTCAGAACGGTCGAGGTGGGGCAGTTGATAGAAGTCGATGGTCCCTGAATGTTAGGGCAGCCAGCCTGGTAATTATGGACTCTGTGCAAAGCACTTTCAACAAATTACCCCCAGCCAACAGCTCCAGCCAGAAACAGCTCAAGGACACAGGAGCAGAGGACCAGCTGCAGGCTAGAAAAAGCAAAGGGGGAGGAGAGGCAGAGTCAGAAAGCTTGGCCCACTGAGCTCACCACCCAGCCCTCCTTCAGTCCGTCTTCCTTATCCTCTCACTTAGAGGCACTGTTTTTGACATTTTCACTAAAATATTCTAATCAGTAGGTACACTGAGGTCTATCTGCAGAAGGTAGAGAAGCAGATATGTATCGATCTCTATGCCGTCCGGGGCCTCACAAGCAGATGGCATGCCGGGCTCTCAGCTGCTCAGACTCGTGGGTCCCAGAGTCTCCCGGGAAAAAAATTCTCCCGTTCTCAGAAACCGCCTGTGTGACTTTGCTGGGCTTGTGCTAATGATGCACCACAGACTGGGAGCTGAGACAATGGAAATGTATCATCTCCCAGGGCTGGAGGCTGGACAATCAAGCTGTCAGTGGGGTTGCTGCCCACCCCGGGACTCTCTGGAAGCTTCTGTGGCTTGCTGGCAACTTTGAGCATTCCTGGGTGTGCGGACGCATCCCCCACCCCGCCCCCCATCTCTGCCTTCACATCCACGAGGCGTTCTCCTCGTGTGTGTCCACCTCTTGGTCCAGATTTCCCCTTCTTTTTTTTTTTTTTAAGATTTTTATCTATTTATTTGACAGAGATCACAAGTAGACAGAGAAGCAGGCAGAGAGAGAAAGGGAAGCAGGCTCCCCGCTGAGCAGAGAGCCCCATGTGGGACTCGATCCCAGGACCCTGAGATCATGACCTGAGCTGAAGGCAGAGGCTTAACCCACTGAGCCACCCAGGCACCCCAGATTTCCCCTTCTTAAAAGGATCCCAGTTATATCGGATTGGGGGCCCACGCTGCTCCAGTGTGACCTCATCTTTCCTAATTAGAGCTGCAATGACCCTGTCACCGAAGAAGGTCACATTCTGCCGTCCCCAGGGACAGGGCTCACTCATCCTGTCTCACCTCTAGATCTCGGCCTTCCCTGCTTTCAGAGTCTGTCAAGTGCGCTCCGTGGCCTTGTCTGTGGGCTCTAACCTTGACGCTGGAATTTCAGCCCACGAGCTATTCCTAGCCGCCCGGCTCTCGCCCCTGGCATGGCATTGCCCGTCTCAGCCAGCTCGGCTGCTGTGACCTGCCAGCAGCTTCTGTCCGTGAGGGTGGGACAGTCTTTGGGCCAGGGCTGAGTGCCCCCCTGGCAGGTCCCAGCACAGTGGCTGGTTCCTGACTGAAGGAAACGAATGTACACGTGATCAGCAGCAACAATAAACTCTGAGACAAAACCTGCAGGTTTTAGTGCCCCAAGTACACCATTTACCCGCTTAAGGAACGTCTTCACCAGGGCCTTGAGTTTCCATCTGTCTGCTTTCCCTGGGTCTGAGCGCCTCGAACCCAGCGGAGAAGGCAGGCTGTGGGGCTCCCGCCCTGCCCCTCCCCTGAGCCTTCCAGGGTCAGGTCAGGCTTTCTCTAATCTGCTCATCTAATCTAATCTGTGTGCCCTCGGATCCCAACGTGGACCTCACAGCTGCATCCTGCCCTCCTTGTCCCACCTTCCCAGGTCTTTGCTCTTTCTGCCCTGGGACACGCTCCCTCCCGGATTTCCCTTCTTGCTGCCTCAGTGGCTCGGCTGGCCCCACCAGGCCCCAGACCTGACATGTTTGCTCCCCTGACGGCTCACTTTTTGGTTCCCCCCCGCCCCTCCTTAGAGGGCCTCGACCTCTCCTCCTGCATTTGCCTCCCCCATCCCCCCGTTCTCGGGATGTCCTACCCATTCCATACCCCCACGCCTCGAAATCACTTTACTTCCCCATCTGGGATTCCCACTTGTGCATGTAAATATCCATGAAATCATACAGAAGACTTGACTTAAAGTTCTCATGAGGCAGGACTAATCCGCCGAAAAGGAGTGGAAGCTTCTTTCTTTACTATCGGTTTCTTCTTACCAGTTCATAGGGGTCCAAGTCATCCCCCAAACGTTGAAGTGGAGAGAAGGATCTTATTATTCACCTAAAATGAGACTCTCGCTGCGTTCTGTCTCCATTCTGATTTCAAAGCAGCTTTATAGTTGTCCACTGCATTAATATTCGTATTTATAGAAAAATGAAAACAGCAGGAACGGTGCTGTTAAACCGCCATGTAAAACAGTATGAAAACACAAAGATTATTGTTTTTCGATATAGTCTAATCATCTATCAATGAGGTGAAAATCTCTTAGTTTATTTCATCTTTGCTAACAGCACCTGCCAGAGTGCCCAGCTAATCCACTAGAAAGACCTTCCTCTTCCTTCCTTTATATCTGTTCTGCAGCGGCCGATTCATTCAGTCTGTGTCAGTTCAACACCAGCACACTCCTCCCAAAAGGTGAAACAAAACAAATCACAAGCCGTGAAAAGGCTTTCCATTTTTTTATTGAAAAGACATATCAACAGGGGGACCCGGGGGGCACCAGTGGTCAAGCATCCGACTCTTGGTTTTGGCTCTGGTCATGATCCCAGGGTCGTGAGACTGAGCCCTGTGTCAGGCTCTGCACTCAGTGGGGAGTCTGCTTGACATCCTCTCCCTCTCCCTCTTCCCATTCCTCTCTTGAAAAAAAAAAAGGAAAAGGAAAAGAAAAAGAAAGGGCGTATCAACATCTGGGAATTTCCTCTTAGTCAATAAGTACTACTCCATATAAACATTTAGCTTCCAAATGATCCATCAAGCGCCCTTTCATGATGTCAAGTTAATGGACGCATCCTAAATGCATAATAGGAGATTGAGTAATTGATGCTGAGTAAACCTACAAAAAGGAATTCATTGCAACCGTTAAAGTGTGGGAGCAAATCAGGGAAAGATGGTCATGGTTTACAAAAAATATATATACGGAATGATCCCATGTTCATGTTAAAACACACACATGTACCCCACGCACACGTCCACCACACACATCCCCGTAAAAGATCTGGGCTGTTAGAACCCAGAGCATTCACCGGGACCCCCTCTGAGCAGAGGAGTAAGATTGGACATGATCTTTTTTCCATTTGCTCATCTAATTTTCTCATTTTTCTACACCAAAAAAAAAAAAGAAAGAAAGAAAAAAAGAAACCCAAATATTACATCTAGCATTGTTTTTGCACTTTTGAGATAAAAAGCTTAAAAGATAACTTTTTCTAAATATTGCTCTGTATGTTTTTCGGCCCTTTGCAGCTTATAGTGACTTAGGCTACTACATTATCAATAAACTGCACCATGTGGATGAGTCTGTGGGCAGCAAAACGAGACGGGCCTTCCTGTATCTCGCTGCCTTCCCTTTTATGGATGCAATGGTGAGTAACTGTGGACACTTCTTAAAAAAAAAAAAATGATGGTGTACTTAACATAAAATTTACCATTTTAGCCGTAGACTCCATTTGGTTCATCCATTCCTCCATCAGTGGACACCTGGGTGATTTCTACCTTTTGGCTATTTCTATAATGGGTTATGAACATGGGTATACAATACCTCCTTGAGCTCCCTGTTTTAACCCTTTTCGGGTAGATAGCCAGAAGTAAAATTGCTGGATTATATCATAATTCTATGTTTAATTTTTAAGGGACCCTCATCCTGATCTCCGTGGCAGCTCTATCATTTTTTATGCCCACCAGCAGTACAGAAGGGTTCTAGCTGGCCACAGACTCATAACCAGCCCATCTTGGCCATTTATTTGATGAGAATCGTTGTACTTGCCACAAAGTTCTAGCAAGAGGCAAGAGAGCCTATTTGAAAGCTGTATTTAAATATAAAGTTCTTTCCTGATATAGTCAGGATCAAGGGATCAAGACAGCTTTCTGATAAACTCACCATTTGTGTGGCTTAAGCACCCAAAAGCATTTTAGAATGAGAATCTCTGGAAAATATGGATAGGCTTTCATGACTTTAATAACCAGCTTTACTACATTACTAAGGGTGGCTCACTTCCATAGATAAAATTCTTTGTCATGATACGGGAGAGTTCTCAGAGAATGCTTTTTCTCTATTCCTCTGTGCTATTGAGAATTATAAAAGAGATTTAACCAAAATAAAATATATATGTATACACACACACACACACACACACACACACATCTTCAGTAATGTCCAATGCTGGGATATAAACCTCTTCTTTGGGTTCCATTTTAAATTATTTTGGGGGGGGAGACTTAAAAATATGTTCATCTGTACAGTTTTGCAGTGCCCCGCCCCTCAAGTTTCACATACTGTAGATGTGTGAGGTAAATGGGCATCCACAGTGAGGTGAGGCCAAGCCCCACATCTTTGGAGGAATGAGCCAAGGTCAACTACGTGTGGTCCACCTTCTCCGATGGTATCAGGAGTGCTATACCGCCTGCAGTTAGCTTATGGACGTGGCCTCATGGAATCTCTGACCGTTTCCCACCAGTCTGCACAGTGACCTTGAACTCACAGTTTTCACACCAAGGCTCTGATTGTCAGTTGGTGTGGCGGCAGCGCCGGTGGGAGAATTGGGCCATCGGAGCACTGGTACCTGGATTTTCTTTTTCTTACTTATCACCAAGTAAGAAATTTACTCTATATTTACCCTGGCAGTTGACACGTACTCCAAAAAAAAAAAAAAAAAAACAAACAAAGAGGCTGGATTTCCTAGAACTGGATTCCCTAACGGTGCCCCAAGCTGACCTAAGGGGGCCCCATAGTGCTTGGAATCAGGAAACAGTAGAAGCCCAACTTCCTAGACAGAGGCCCAATACTGCTCTGAGGCCTGCCCCCCATCTGTATGGGGGCTCTGTGGACACACAGAAGAATTACAGTGATACGTGAATTCAGGGACTCGGGACTAAAAGTGAATCCGTGTGCCCTATGTTCCATTTCCTTTCAGCTGTATTTCTTTGCCGTGAGAGAGTTTCTAAAACTCAGCATAACACCAGAACATTGGGGATTAACACCCTTTACTTTCCTGTTTCATCGTCAACGGCCCCCAAAGATCCAGCAGTAAGAGACCGTTCATGAAAAACAAAATAATGAACATTGATAAAAAGCCAGGTCATCTTCCCAGGCACACACCCCTGCACACCTACACCTGGTTAGAGAGGGAATATTTGAAAACCACAAAGCTTATCATCCCGATGGCTTCGGTCAACCAAGGGGGCCCACAAGCCACTGTTTGCAAATGTTATCGACAATTGGCGTCTCTTTCCACGTCTAGCACCTCGAGACCTGTGAGCTGAGGGAGGAAGTAGATGGGGCAGCTACCGTACAGAGTCCCGACACAGACCTCGGGAATAAATCGTATTTGTCTGATGGCGAGAAGCTCGCACGAAATGTTACTGCCATGTCGGTCCGCATTGGCCTTTCCGGGTCAGAAGGGTGATGCTCACACAGATTCTGCCTTGGACTTCAGACCTCCAAACTCACCGGCCCCCCGGGCTTTCCATCATCTGCTCCCCCCGAGAACCTTCCTCTTCATCTCCCTCAGAGGCAAAGTGTCAGATCAGATCCTGCCCCAACTTGAAGAGAAGGAAAGAGTAGAGCCCTCATGGTTTGATGAGAACCTATAATGACTATAATAACTCAGAACCGAACTGGAGCCCTCGTTATGACACGCCTCGCAGAGGGTGAATGTTTCTGCCTTGTCATTCCGGCTGCCCCAGAGAGAGAGGGTGTTTCCTCCGTTCTTGGTATCCATCTAGCTTCCCTGCCAGGAGAGCTAGTGAGTGCCCTGGTCTGCCTTTTCACCTGTACTAAGTAAATCCTGTGCGGTCACTGATTCCACTTAGAAATCTAACGCGGACCTAGCCACCAGGCCAAGTTATGGTCATTTGACCAACGGAAGGTTTGTCCTGTGCTCCGAAGGTTCTGGGGTGGGAGTGGGGGTTTGTAAAAGTCTATTTCCGGATTGCCCAGTAAATCCTAACGGCCAGAAGTCATCCGATCCCAACGGTGTCTCTCATGCCAAATTCTGTTCATCCCGGCAGGCGTGGACCCATGCTGGCATTCTCCTCAAACACAAATACAGTTTCCTGGTGGGATGTGCCTCGATCTCCGATGTCATCGCTCAGGTAAGTACGGTCTTTGTGTCCGTCGGAGCTCCCCGGAGCCCCCTCCTGCCTCGCTGACGTGCATTCCCTCTGAGGGGCCTTCCTGCCTTACTCCAGCCGAACGTGGACGTCAGGGAAGGTGTGTTGAACAAGTGGGAGCATGAGACCTCTTGTAGGAGACGCATGTCTAATCCTGCGAGAAGGAGGGTGGTAGGAATTGACAGACAGCGTCAGATGTGTGGACCCTTAGGCTTACAGATCTCGCCTGTGAAATGACCATTGGGTCCCAGCACACATGTGTCTGGTGGTCAGTGGGTCACAGCTGGGGGCACAGTTGGTCCTCCGTGTGGCCTCCCAATACATGGTCTGTCCCTTGGCTCTAGAGGGAGCTCTTGGGTATTCTTCCATGTTGTTTCTCGTGTAGATGCCACACATGGCTGCCATTCATGCGTCATTAGCCCACATTTCACAAGAGCCAGGAGGCTGGACGCGCTCTGAGAAGAAGGTCAACGTTGCCCTTTCTGTGGAGCCCGGCTCTGGCGCCAGCCCCAGCTCTCCACGTTACTTCCTTTCTTCTGCCACTCAGGATACTGCATGAAAAATTTCAGCAGAAAATTAGGTTTAATTCCCGTAATCTATAAATTAGCCCTAGTTCCTACAATCAGGGGTTCGGGAGAACCGTTTCTTCACAGAGGAGGGGGGATGGGCTGATTTTTAAGCTCCTTTTCCAGTTCTCGGTTCCATTCTATGAGCATTTCCATGCATTTCTGCCTGGTTTCCCCCCAACATACAAGCTAGTCTGGTGGCCACCTTTTTGAAATAATCTACTGTCAAACCATTAGTACCTCCCTAAAGACCAACAATTACATTTCCAAATTAATTGCGTTTACTCCAAGAATCACTATTGAAAGTAATTTAAATTAATTCCTGTTAACACTGTGTGTGTGTGTGTGTGTGTGTGTCTGTGTGTGTGTGTTTGCTCACACATGCGTATGCCTGGACACTCGCTCACGTCCTCTCTGGATATAGTTTTGTTAATTTTCTTTGTGAGTTATTAGAGATTTTTGTCCTGATCTTACTTTTATTCATCCTCTGAGAGATGAACTAAACTGCCTTATTCACTCTAATCAGTTAATCTGAAATTAAGGCCGCACCTCTCTTTTCCAACATTGGTATCAGCAACTCAGGGAATATTTATAGATGTGTGTTTTCTTAAGGGCAAACAAACAAAACACAACTTCACTTTGCCGGAGATAAATATAGTGAGCATCTAGGAGTAGAAGGGAAAACCAGATCCCTGAAAAATGCTTTGCCAGCACGCCTACGGCCATTTTCCTTCTCAGTTTGAAACCCCGTCCTGGCCGGTGCCTGCTGGGAGGGCTCGTAAGTGCAGAATGATCAGATCTGGTTGGGAAGAGAGACGGGAGCTGGATTCAGATGCCATCTGGCCCCGAGCTATTCCTGGTGAAGTAGTTATTTTAAACCTTGTAGTTTGAAAGTTTGGAGGAATAAATGCGATGTTCGTTCCTAAGTCTTTTATTACCCCTGCTCCCCCACCCCCAGTTTTAGTCCTCTGTTTCTTGAAAGCATTTTGTTAAATACCGAATTTGTGAGTAGATAGGTCTCGGGCAAAGTCCTCTGCAAATACCACCTTGGCATAGAGAGATAGCAAGTTATCGCCAATGGTAAAATGAAAGTAGCTTATAATGCCTAGCCTTTAAGTGGCAACTCCCATTTTTTAAGAGTTTACTATGCTGGGATGCCTGAGTGGTTCGGTCAGTTGAGTGTCTGACTCTTGGTTTCAGCCCAGATCTTGATCTCAGGGTCGTGGGATCGAGCCCAGCCTTGGGCTCTGCTTGTCCCTCTGCCTCTCCTCCAGCTCTTGCCTGCTCCTCTCTCTCTCAAATAAATAAATACATCAAATCTTTAAAAAAAATTTTACTAAGCTAATTGATCTCTCACCATAGTACAAGAAAGCTCTCTTGGTTTGGTTTACCCATGCAATAATGCTTTTCTATGCCACCATTATTGTCAATAACGCTATGTCCTAGGGGCACCTGGGTGGCTCAGTCAGTTAAGCATCTGCCTTCGACTCAGGTCATGATCCCAGGGTCCTGGGATCGAGCCCTGCATGGGGCTCCTTGCTCGGCAGGGAGCCTGCTTCTCCATCTTCTTCTCCCTCTGCTGCTCCCCCTGCTCGTGCTCCCTCTCTCACTCTGTCAAATAAACAAAACCTTTAAAAATAAAATAGTGCTACATTCCAATATATTGCCAAAGAATTTATGAAGAATATTGCTGTTTCTGTTGTATTTCACAATCACCTGGTCAATATTTGCTCAGCATCAGCAGGAGCGATCTCAGGGCGTTGCTGGTTCTTACTGGGACCTCCTGTCCTAGCCCTTGCCTCCTGACTCAGCCCAGCGCCCCGAGACGGGAGGCCACCCTCCCAGCTCAGCAGCGTTGCTGCAGTCCTGTCAGTCCCTTGGCTCCCTGTCTTTTCATCTCAGCCTCCTGGCAAGGCCGCACTCCTGAATCCCCCTGCAATACACCTTTCACCACCTGCGCCCAGAAAGTCAAGCAGCTGATGGAACCACGAATCCACGCTCATCACTCACCGCAGCTGACCCAGTAGCTTCGTCAGAGGGTCCCTCCGCTCCTCCCTCTTCCCAGTAGACGAGCTCCCTTCCCACTTCCACGAGAAAGTTGAAGCCACCGAATTCCTCACCTTCTGGCCACCAGACCTACAAGCCTGCCTCCAAACCCCGCGTCATCTGCGTTTCCCCCCATTCTGGGAAACGAGGCGCCCCCCCCCTTCTCTGGTCCAGAACCGCGGCTTCCACCTGCGCTTTCTCAAGAATGGGGTCCAGCCGGCTCTCTTGACCTGTTGTCTCTCCCCTGGGTCATTTCTCCTGACACGTGAACGTGCTCACCCACCTGCCGTTTTAACACAACCACAAGGGCAGCTTTCTCGTGCTCCCGTGCGCTGCTCGGGCTCCAGTTCTGTTACTTCCCAGCCAGACTTTCAGGAACGGGGTTTTTGCTCACTGTCTCCATTTCTTTCCTACTTCTGTCCTTTTACCACCTCCAAGTCGGCTCCCCAGGGAGGTGGGGGGGGAGGTCTTGCCAATGACCTCTGTGTCACTTGATCCATAGGACGGTTCCGTCAACTTTCTGGCCGTCTTCTTCACTTCCTTCACTGCTCCCTCCTGCACAAAACGCGGCCTCGCTCTGGAACTCAGCACTGCTCTGTCTCCTCCTCCTGGAGGCCCCTTCTCTCCAGATGTGAAGATGTGGACGTTCCTCGAGGCTTTCTCTCTCCTTGCTGTGTTCTGTTCGAGAAGAACCTAATTCACGCCCTAGGTCTGTACCATCTCTAACAGGACCAACGATTCCCGAATCAGCCGCGCCCTGTCCTCTGAGCGCCAGACAACATATCTAGACGCCTTTCGGATCCTCAGCGCCCCCCTAACCGGGGGCGCCGAGGATACCTTCACACCTTCTCTATCAAGTGTTTCGGTTTCGAGCAAACCGGTGGCACTGTCACCGGGTCAGAAGCCTGGGGACCATCCTCCTCATCACCAGGCCTTTTCGATTTTAATCCCAGGTGTATCTTTGATGTGCCCTCTTCTCCCCATTTCTGCCCCCCTCGCCCGGGTCCGAAGGAGCCCCCGTCCCGCCCGGACCGCTAGAGAGGTCTCCTGACTGGCCTCTGCTCTGGCCCGCCCCTCCTTCTTTCCTTCCTGACCCCCCTCTGTGGCCACAGTGATCTCTTCTCTTGGAAATTCTGGCCACGCTGCTCAGAAGCTGCTTTAAACATTGCTTCCCGGGGTTCTTGGGATAAACAGTCAAAATCCCGGTCATGGCGACAACGTTCAAGACCTTTGGACCGTGCTTCCTCGCCGGCCTGGCACTCTCCTCTCGTCGCCTCGCTCCTGCCACCCCCACCACGGACACGCCATTTAGGGCCCTGGTGTGGCAGAGGACCCTTTCATGGCGCTCTTTGCTTCGGCCCCTCTGCCCAGGAGGACTTGCTCTGCCTCACGTCCTCGTACCTGCCACGGACTCCTGCCACTCCTGCCACACCCAGCTGAGGCTGCAGGTCTCGATTCAGGTGGCACCCAAGGGGATGCTCTCCCTCGAAGCAGCCGGGCCATCCCAGCAAAGCCTCGCTGCCTCCACACCCGCAGTGGACACTCCTCAGCGTCCCTGTCTGGTTCACGTCCCCACTCCTGTGCTGGACTGTCAGCTCCCGGAGGAGAGTCTGCGACGATCTTGTTTATCTCTGGGCTCTCGGGCACTGCAAACGGGGCCTGTGCAGAACAGACTCTCCTGGGGAAAATCCTTACCAAGGAGAGTCGGTTCCTGCTCGGAAAATAACCTGGTGTTTCTGGTGGTAATATCAGATTCAACATCATAATTCTGGACTGAAATGCAGAAGACCCCATGTTATTTTTTATTGATGAGTAGTACAGTCCACAGTGACGATGGAAGCTCTGTGATGGGTGCTGGGCCTCACGGCATCGAGCTGTTAAATGGGGAGCTGGGTGAGAGCCACTGGCCCAGGGCATACCCCTCCGTCGGTCCTGCATAGCCCACCCCCTTCTTGTCATCACCACACTTACTTCTCTTTGGCTCGTGTCCCCTTTCCCTCTTAACCACATCCTCCTCCGTGGTCCTGCCCAGCAGGCCATCCTGACGGCTCTGGGAGCCTTCCTGGATGTGGAAGTGGAGGACTCAGTCCTCGTGTATTCCTTTCTTGTACAGCGAGTTTTCAGTCTCTATGCACAGTCGTCATTGTTCCCACTGTGGGTTTCTGTGTGCTGGAACGGTCAGCTTGCTGAGACACTCGAAACGGTCAGCTTGCTGAGACACTCGACAAACGGTCAGCTTGCTGAGACACTCGACAAACGGTCAGCTTGCTGAGACACTCAAGCGGGAGTTTGCCTGGGGGCTCCACTGGGCCTTCTGAGGCATTAGAGACGTCCCCACACATCTGGGCCCCATCACAGAACTCCCGGTCCTCCGTTCCTAATACTGTGTGTCCCTAGCGAGGCTTCCCCAGGTTGTGTCCGCATCTTCACTGGGCATTTTCTACTTGTCCCACTTGAAAGGAACAGGCACGGGGCCAGTTATGGGCATCTTGACTTCATCCGTGGGCTCCACTGCATTTTTGGGGAACAGGAGCGGGAGTGTGAGCACCACCCCAACTGGCGTCTGCTCACGTCGTCGGTGCAGCTGCAGCCTGGTTGTGTCCACGCGGCCAAGCCGTGCCTGAGGCTCCCAGTCCGAATCGGCCTCGTGTACTGGGTTCGAGAATGACAGCTGGCATAAGACACAGCCCACACTGCAAACCAACCACCTCCAGTATCTGATACTTTCACCGCGTTCACAAGTCTGTATAACCCTGATGTTCTCTGTTCCCTCCGGCAACCGAATGCACTCATCCAGCTCGTCATGCTCAGTCTCCAGCTTCCTTTTTAACTTTCTGTCATCGCCAGTTCCTTGGGACTGCAGTGATGGGGATAAGTCTCCATGGGTCAGGACCACTCCGTGGTGGTGTGTTTTGCATGCCTGTTGTTCCGTGGATATTTGGCCATTAACATCACGGTAGCTCACAGCCACCTGGCCAGCTCAGACAGAGGAGGATGCAGCTCTTGATCTCGGGGTGTAGGTTCAAGCCCCACATTAGGTGTGGAGATTGCTTAAAAATAAAATCTTTTTTATAAAGTCAGTGGAACTCCAGAATAGTGTCCCCCTCCCCATTAGTTAATTTTTGTGGTCTTCCATCTTCAGTGGTCTTCTGAATGTGTGAATCCCCTGATGGCTCTGGACAGAGGCTGGGCTGCTCCTCGGACTTTTATAGACAGGAAAGCTAAATACTTGTTAAATATTTTTAGAGATCATACAGTCAGTAGAGATTAATACTTTATTATTTTAATCTCTCCTGACTCTATTTTTTCAAACTCTTCCACTTTTTAAGTTAGTATTTTAAACTTTAATTGACTTTGTTTTGTAATAATTGACACTGGTGCTTTTCGCAGCATTTTTAGCAAACTTCATCTTACAAATGTTAATGTCTATTTTTCTGTATATGTCGCGGATCACCACTACTTTTTCCTTGTGGACTTGGGGCCTTCGTTGTGGATTATATGTGCGTGTCAGGATCCAGGCTCGAGGGCAAACCTCTACCACATCTTTGGGGGTCTGGGGAACAAAGTGTCTAGATGTTTTGTAATGAGATCGTAACCAGATATATCATTGCCTTAAAAGAGTCTTAGAGAGGGCCGCTTGGGTGGCTCAGTGGGTTAAGCGTCTGCCTTTGGCTCAGGTGATGATCCCGGGGTCCTGGGACTGAGCCCCGCATTGAGCTCCCTGCTAATTGGGGAGCCTGCTTCTCCCTCCCTCTCTGCCTGCTGCTCCCCGTGCTTGTGCCCTTTCTCTCTCTGTCAAATAAACAAAATCTTAAAAAAAAATAGAAGAGTCTTGGAGGGGAATATAGCAAAGCGATTGTGTGCTCTTTCCCTGAGGACACACGGAGCCCCAGCCCCAGCTCCTGTCCTCCCATCAGCATCGAGGTTTTCACTCAGAGGTCCACCTCGTCAGGGTGCCAGCAGCCGGCCTGCACGCCCGTCGATGGGTTCTGTCATCTCCCCTCTGACATGTCCTTGTTTTCCCGCCCTCCAGGTCGTGTTTGTCGCCATCTTACTGCACAGTCACCTGGAATGCAGAGAGCCTCTGCTCATCCCCATCCTGTCCTTGTACATGGGCGCCCTCGTGCGCTGCACCACCCTGTGCCTGGGCTACTACAAGAACATCCACGACATCATCCCCGACCGGAGCGGACCGGAGCTGGGGGTACGACCTGTCTGTGCATCTGGGGATGGCCCTCTGGGAAATGGGAGACCCGTATACAAGCCCGTGCCCTGAGATGTCCAGCGCCAGGGCACATCCAGAGACAGACATGGAGTGGGGGGTGAATGGCCTTGCGAGACGTCACGGTGCAGCCTCCTTGTTTGCATATAGGGAAACTGAGGCACAGTGGGTCAGGTCAGGCTGAGGAGTAGATACGGCAGTTTTGGTTCTTCATACCCTCTGTTGTCAAAAGTAAGTCGTTCTGTGTATTCATCAACAAGGAGCTGGGGGCCCACAGCTCCCATTTAACCTTGCATTTGGGTAATTTCTGAGTTCACAGCAGGACCCCAGGCTTTGTTTGTACTTTATACTTTCCACCCTGGCCAGACACAGTCGCTCATTCAGGCATCTCCTGTGGCGTGAGCAGAGAGTGTAGCCACCATGGGCAGCACAGAAGTCTGGTCTCTGCCCTCAAGCAGCTGCATTACGTCCCATCCCGTAGATGAGAGCGACACAGAAACACAGTTAGGTGGGAGCCCAGACAGCACACAGGATACAAGAGCCTTGGAGCGCAAGGAGGGAAGACAGTGATGGGGTCTCAGAAGCTCCCCCACCTCCTGGAAGGTGACAGAAGTGGAGTCAGATGCCAGCAGGGTATAAGCCTCCCGAGCACTGTTTCAGCATCAGTACAAGCAGGTTCTGACACGTCTATGCTGATCCCTCCCATCGGTACCAGACATCCCTGGGCTTGGTTTCCGTCGAGCTGTGGGGCCGATATGCACGAGTCCACGCAGCCCCGACGAAGGCCCCACACTCCACCCTCTGATCCCACCTTTGAGCACAGCTTACTCTTGGCATGTCAGAACTGTATTGACCACTTACCTCGATCCAAGGCGGGCCGTCAATAAAGTCTGATCTAGTTGTTTCCATCACTAGGACACCCACATCAAAAGGGTCTCGATGGTAACAATCCATCTCTGAACCCTGAGCTGCCAGCAAGGGAGATAAAAGTGGCTGGCATGGTTCCACAATGTGACTCTTACCCTCTGAAGAATCAAAACCGAAGTTAAATCATGAAAGCCAGCCTTTAAAGATTGCACACCTTTTGGTTTTGTAGAATTCTCAATAAATCACCTTTTCTTGACCATGCTTTCATTTTTATGCTTCTGAACATTCACGTGACTTCTGTCAGAGCTTTCAGAATAAGAACCTTGGTAATAGATTTATACCTCAATAATTAGGCACATTTGTGACCCGACTGGTTACAGAAATAAATTATAGTAATTTTTTTTTTTCACTTCTGAGAGTTAAGTTCAGTTTGGTGATTAAAACAAAAACCAATTTCCAGCCTGTTTTCCAGGCCATGGAATTGCGTTCTTTCTGGGTTAGAAGTGCCCTGTTTGGAAAATAGTGATTTGGATCCATCAAACTTAAACGTGTGCTTTGATTTCACGGTAAATTGCCCGCTGTCTGAATTAATTTCTAATAACACTGTACGTTTTATTTTAATTTGAATTGGCTTGGCTACAGAGGCTTTCCTTGTATTATTTTTAAGTACAATGAATTGACTCATTATTGACATCAAAAGGAAAAGCTTTGGCTCCGAATTGTTTTTTCTGTTCTGTTTCTAGAATGTAGTGAATTTGTATCTCCATTTCTTGACACAGGGAGATGCAACCATAAGAAAGATGCTGAGCTTCTGGTGGCCTTTGGCACTCATCTTGGCCACACAGAGGATCAGTAGGCCGATCGTCAACCTCTTTGTTTCCCGGGACCTTGGTGGTAGTTCCGCAGCTACTGAGGTAGGGTGGTTTCTAGGGATGGGGGCACTTGTGGTCACCTTTTAAAGAATGGGGGTGGGGGGTAGGGAAGTGGACACAGACTTGTTTCTGATTCATCTGGAGAGCTCAGGTAATTCTGTGGTATCATAATGGACGACCCATTCACACTCAGAAGCCAAGAGGCTCTTAGAATCGTGGGACTGTTTACTTCTATGAATATGGAAGAAAACATCTCCTTCATCCTTCTTGTTGACCAGATCTGAGGCATGGGCACAAGGCTAAGGGTGCAAAACTAGCAAGAAGCCGGGCTGGTCGAGGAATCCAGATTTTTCTGACTCCCATCCAGTGGCCTTTCCATTTTCCTGTGGAGTCAGCGTGATGCCAACATTGTGGTGGCCAGAGACCACGGACTCTGCCGTGTAGCAGCAGACATGACCAGGCCCAGACCGTGAGGCCAGGGCCCCCATTCCAACCCAGCCCGCTCTCACCTGTTCCTGCCCCGCCTTCCTGCAGTACCCCCCTCCCCCCACACCCCGGGCCCATCATGGCTATCTGAGCTCTTTGGCAGTCCGCCCTCCCGCAAATGAGGATCTCCATTATTTACTCACTCGCAGCTCAAGAAATTTATCTGGAAACTGGCAGCTACTCCAAAGAAAGAGTTGAATCATTTTTTCCATCTTTCAAGTATGGTATGAACAAATCAAGTTACTTCATTTGTCTCCTCCTCCGCTGCCCTCTGGAGACTTGATTCTGTCTCTGGAACTGCTGATCCTTCAGGAAGGCTGGTGGCTGCTCATTAGGGCCTTCTCTTTCCACGTCGCCCTTGAATGCGCCGTCGGCGTGTCTCCAGCCTGGGATCTCCTGCCAGTTTCCATGTCCTGGGAAGCAGCTCATGTGGGCTTGGAAAGGGACGCACATAAATCACAAGCAGGACGATTTCTCCTGCCTTGCTTTGTTCTTGGACTTTGTGTTTTGGATCACAAAGGTCATCTTGGGTGGCTCTTACAACCCAACAGCTTTTTCAGTTAACACCAACAGTTTAAGTTGCTCAGAAAAAAAGTATGTGACCCCCATCACTTGTGTGCCGGAATTCCATCTTCCCCTTTGAAAAAAAAGAAAAAAGAAAAGAAAAACCAAGGTAAATGACCTCAGTGGCATAGAGACGCAGCGTGTAGGGTACAGAACAGACGTGTATTGACCATCTACTGCATGTCCGCCACTTAATGCACATTTCATGGACTCCCGGCAAACCTTTGTGATGGATCTCATCATTCCCATGGTTCTCCTGGAGGAACAGAAAGGGAGGTCTGAGAGAGTCCCTGCTTCACACAGCTGGAAGGTGACCAAGGGAAGGTTTGGGTCCACACAGTAGTGTCTTCGCCCAGCTGGAGACTTACCCCATGTTCCAGGCATGACTGTAATGTTAATGAAAATAGATGAAGCCTGTACTTCTCCTTTACTAGCTAGTTAGAATTGAACTCTGCCAAAATGTAGGGTTTGATGCTTTGTTTTCACTCTCCTTCCTTTTCATTCGCATAAAAAGAGAAACTCTCATTTTCATGGAAGGATATGTTTGGTTTCCACAAGAAATATTTCTTTAGTTTTCTTAAATTAAAAATCAAAATTGGGCTATTCTGGCCGGACAGATTAAAAGTAAGTTGAGTCGGAAGTAGAAAACCATAAAGCCACCAACTAGCGCCTACTGCCGGCCACCCAGAAGGACAGGATGGAGGCATAGACGTGGACCCTAAGCAAAGACTATCCGGAGAGCAGAAAGAGCTCAAAATTGCATTTTGGGACTCCAGAACTGGGCTAGACTGGAGGGCTCCATTTGGCTCAATGGAAAGAGCAAAGGTCCCTGGTCTGGTGGGCCTGGGTTCAAATAGTAGCTTGTCCAGCCAACGCCCAGGCTCGCAATCCCACTCCCATCTGTGGTCGCAGTAGAGCATCTGTCTCTCCCCGTTCCCCCAGTCCCGCCTGTGGCTGGCCAGCGCTTCTCACCCAGTGTGGAGTGATCCGTCTGTGGTGGCCGCACTGAGACCACTCCCTCTGGCCTGTGGCAAGAGCAGCTACTGGAGATGCTCTCTGGGACGCCGACACTAACGGCTGGCTCCTTCTCTTGTAGGCAGTGGCAATTTTGACAGCCACATACCCTGTGGGTCACATGCCATATGGCTGGTTGACGGAAATCCGTGCTGTCTACCCGGCTTTTGACAAGGTGAGCACCTGTACGGCGCGGTGTCTGAAACACTCTCTTTAAAATTAGCCTTTGAGGGACGCCTGGGTGGCTCAGTTGGTTAAGCAGCTGCCTTCGGCTCTGGTCATGATCCCAGTGTCCTGGGATCGAGTCCCACATCGGGCTCCTTGCTCATCAGGGAGCCTGCTTCTCCCTCTGCCTCTGCCTGCCATTCTGTCTGCCTGTGCTTGCTCTCTCTCCCTCTCTCTCTCTGACAAATAAATAAATAAAATCTTTAAAAAAAAATAAATAAAATAAAATAAAATAAAATTAGCCTTTGATAGACAGGCATTTCCGATGAAGAACGCTCTGATATTTCCCAGTCTCACCTCCCTCTGTAAGGTGAATGTGGTGTGGGGGGTGTCAGGCATCATTATGAAATATTTCCCTCAGAAAATACAGAAGTCGTGAAGCTTACTTTCATGCCAATCCTCTAATGTCCTCCAAACGATATTCACTTATAGGTAATTCTGATTAAGAAATTATTAAATTTTTTACAAAGGGAAAATATACTCTCAAAAAAGTTTATTACATTGGATTTTGTTTCTGTGGTTTTTTGTTTTGTTTTGTTTTGTTTTTTAATTAAACGAATGCTTTACTGACCTCATAGCAGATGTGAAGGTACAGACAGGATTGAGCCCTTGAGGTCCTAAGCTTCTGACTGGGTGTCTTTCGGTATACGCAGTGTCCATGACCCCCCGAAGCTGTCCGTGCAGTGGCCTCGGTCCAGGTTGCTTTGGATGCAGCGGACTTATTCCAGCTGTAAAGCCTCTGTTAACCGCAGCTCTGCCCCCGCAGCTGCTCGCACACAGCCCTTCAGGCTTGTAGCCTGTGGCTGGGTCAGCACTGTCCTACCAATCATTGAATTAATGTCTTTTTCATTAAAGCTTAATGACTTGAACCTTTAGACATTTATAGCAAAACATAAGCCCAAAGATAGTGTACAATTTTTTAAAAGATTTATTTGTTTATTTGAGAGAGAGAGAGAGAGAGAGAGAGAGAGCATGAGCGAGCAGGAGGCAGGGGCAGAGGGAGAAGGAGAGAGAAACTCAAGCAGACTCTATAGTGAGTACAGAGGTCAACACGGGGCTCGAACTCACAACCTGAGACCATAACCTGAGCCAAAACCAAGAGTCAGACACTTAACTGACTGTGCCACCTGGTGCCCCTATACAATGTTTTAAAATGAAAAATAAGGGAGCGCCTGGGTGGCTCAGTCAGTTAAGCATCTACCTTCGGCTCAGGTCATGATCTCAGGGTCCTGGGATCGAGTCCCGAGTCAGGCTCCCTGCTCAGCAGGGAGTCTGCTTCTCCCCCTCCCTCTGCCCCTCCCCACTGCTTGTGCTATCTCTCTCAAATAAAAAAATAAAATCGTTTTAAAAATACAGTGAAATGAAAACTAGGAAAGAAGCACACACCTGCACTTGTATTTTTCACACCAACCCTTTTGCCTTGAATTTCTGTAGAACCAGCTCAGAGCCATTGCTGGTAGCATTTTATCTGATCCCAACAAGAGCCCTGGGATGTAAGGAGAGGAGGCCTCTTTGCTAGGGACCCCAGCGGATGAGCTCTGGCCACTCGGGCAGCGTAGGTTCTGGCTGGCTGAGGCTGGGCTCCCTCCGCGCCCCACTCCCACCCACTGCCAGACCTGAGTGGCCATCGGGAAGCCCGGGAAGCCCACAAAGCAAGGCCCGGCCACGGGCCGTAAGCTGCGCTCTCTCTTCACATGGCGTCCAGCTTCTCAAATGTGTGCTTGTCTGTGGGCTTCTGGAAGAGGGCACAGCCTGTGGCGTGGAGCCCCAGAGAGGTTTCCTCTGCACCTCACACCCTGAGCCAGGGCACTCCCCAGCAGACTTTTCTCCTGGCGGTCCCTGTTTGCGCGAGTTTAACCCAATCTATGAGCAGACATCGCTGTTTTCCTTTTAAGGAACATGAATATAGAAGTAAATCCTAGAAAACCGAGATGGATATACGTCCTTTTGCTAAATTTCTAGCTCTTGGAGAATCAGATTATATAATAAACCTAGAGGAGAACAGCAGGTACTAAATATTAGAAACTCCTGGCTGGGAAAGTCTCATCTGGAGTGTTTTTGGCTACCTTGAAATAATACCACTTAACGATAGCAATACAGCACTGTACGGTTTCACTGGGAGCATCCAAGAAAAACTTGGTTTTGTCCACGATCACAGGGGTTAGGTGCTGTGAAGCAATCCCTGTAGCGAGTGTACCTCTCGCCAGCAACTGCAGTCACTCCGAATCCTTCTGGAGCCTCCCTCTTTGTTTCCGGGCATTCCAGGGAGCGCCTCCGAGCCGTCCGTGTGAATGCTGTCTATTCACCCAAATCTGAGACACCTCTGTGCGGACTTGCAGAGTTGGCTGCATTGACAATGGAAATCCTAGCCTCTTTGTGCTTTCCAGAATAAGGGATTTGACATTTCTTGCATAACTTCTGACGGCTCTCGCTAAATATCCACTGGGAGCATTTTGCACTCGTACAAAATCTCTCTGACGTTCAGTTATCATCTGCAGAAGAGTCTGCGTCTAAGCAGCATCGGGCAAACAAAGCGAAACACGCTTGCCGATCTAACGATACGTGCTCGTTTATTCCAACCCTGCTGCCAGAAATATGCGCTGTTTTTGAAATGAAAGCACACCTGGGGCTCTCTGGCACCCTGCTGTCCCACCACGGGTGACACAGGTGATGCACCAA